GCTCCCTATCTGCGACAACTGCAGAAGTTGCAGAGGCTCACTTGCCTTAGCTGTCACAGCCGGTGAAGTTGCAGAGGCCCAGGCCCCAGCTGGGAAGAAACTGCTAAACCACAGGCGGTCAGATAGTACGAAAACGCTGAAAATACAGTGCAAAACGCTGGTGCTGCAAAACGAACGGCAACAGTTACAGCAACAGCACCAGCAACAGCATTAGTACCAGCACCACGCAGACGCAGCCGCAGCCGCAGCCGCCCCGGCAGCAGCCGCCGCAGCAGCCACAGCAGCCACAGCAGCTACAACACCCACAACAATCACAACCACCACAGCTCCCGCAAACAACCACAACCAACAACACCACCACCACCACCACCACCACCAACAACAACAACAACAACCACAACCACAGCAACAACAGCCACAGCAACCACAACAAGAATCAATAATAACCACAACAGCAACCGCTACCGACAACCGCTTCGACAACTACAGTGAACTACAGCAACAACCACAGCAACAACCACAGCAACAACCACAGCCACAGCCACAGCCACAACCACAACATCCACAACAGCCACACCAGCAGCAGCAACCATGTTTCAATTGCACGCGGCGCGAGCGGGCTCTGCGCTTGGCGGGCATGACAGCAGCAACAACAACAACCACAACAACCACAACAACTACAACAACCACAACACGCACAACAATCACATCAACCACAACCACAGCCACAACCTCAACCACAACCAACAAGCCCAACAACCCAACAAGCTTAACAAGCACAACAAGCACAGCAAGCACAGCAAGAACAACAACCACAACCACCGCAACCAACACAACCCAACCAGCACAACCACCACACCCACCCACGACAACTCCCACAACCCCCACAACCCGCGCAACCACAACAACCAGAACCACAGCCACAACTGCGACGACGACAACCATGACGACGACATCCGCGACGTGGACGACTATCAAGTAACTATTATTCTACTAACGGCTCCGGCTACTGCCACTGCTAGTGCAGCTGCTGCTAGGAGCACTGCTGCTGTCCAAAATATTAGCATTGCTTTCCTCGGACCTTGTTTGCCAGGACTTCGTGCTTTGGATCAACAATGCCAGCCATGTGACGCTCCTCGTGCGGCCTGGGAATGCCGAGGCGCTATGCGTACTACTATAGACTATAGGCCTCGAGCGCGGCCGGTGGCCAGACCGAGCCATGAAGGTCACAGCTCCCTCACAGAAGAGTGTCTGGCAGGCCGAACGTTTGTCACAGGTTCTGAAGCAGAAGCTGGGGGCCTGACGGCCTACACACAGAACATAGGCCAATGGGCACAATCCCGGAAGGGAGCGACCCTGGTAGGTCTTCCGGCAGTTTCCTTGAATGTAGGTTTCCTGAGGCACGAGTGCCATTGAAGTTCTGTTCTGCGAAGCAGAAAGCACAGAGAAACAGAGAGATCCCAAAAGTTATCCCGGAAAATCGACGGGATTTCCGCACAATTTGCGAGTATTACGGGTCTTCCCACGGAGAGGGGCACTCAGCAGGTTTCCTCGCCGCGCCGCGTGAATTGCGTTTTCTGTCGCTCGCAGCCCTGGTCCAAGCACAGCCACAAGCCGCCGCACATTCTCCGTGCCGTCAGTCGTGGTGGAAATGCCGTCTGCACGTGACTTTTGGATGCATCATGCAATGAAAAAGCGCGGCAGCAAGTCCATGCACCAATACATCTTTTTCACACGAGGACGCTCCCGTGATCGCAGCTTTGGGTGCAGCTGCTGCCATTGGCTTGGGCAGCGAGACATTCGTGGCCTCCAAGCCCGTCCAGGTGTGCCACCGTGACCATGTCTCAGCCACACATGAAGGCAGTTCTGCCTCAGAAGTCACTGCTCATTGCTGTCAAAGGCCGAGAGCTCACCAGCCTTGAGGGGTGCTGGAGCTGCAGCTGCAGCATCTACCTGGGGAGGTTCGAGCAGGACAAGTTGCTATAGTTACTATAGTTGTTTGTCTGAGAATAAGAACAGTTGAGGACCCTGGCCGCTGGAGCAGTGGCTACTGCTGCGGTGGTAGGGCGCGGAGCGCTGCTGCGTCGTCGGGCTACAGCTGTGTGCTGGCCAAATTCGAAGATGCATCTTCTAAGGGGCCCCACGCCATTCCCTTTCAATCGAATGTATGACGTTCTACCGAATCCGGTAGTCTCTTGTCCCCTTCACTTGTGGATTCCGGGGACGGGGGAGTAACTAGCAGGTTAGCAGTCAGCAGAGGACACCCCCAACCAAACGAAACACCGAGCCGGCATCCGAAATCCATCAGGTGAAGAAGAAGGGCGTGCGTGTGGTCGAGGGCAAGGACACGAACTGGGTCTTATGATGCAGCTTTAGGTAGCAATTCAGTGGAGTGGTGCGGAAAGATACTTACTTATGCCTTTGATGACTTATTGCATCCGACGGCAACTTTTTGCCTTCGGCTTCGTGAGGAGATCCCCTGGAACCTCTTCAGCCCCAAGGCGCCTTACGAGGGCAGCTGCATTTCCAAGGAGACCATCACCAGCAAGACGCCTCTGGTGAACTGGGAGACGTGCCATGTGATCATGGACCACGGCGGCAAGGTGCCCTACATCGAGGGCCAGTCCATCGGGGTCATTGCACCGGGCCCGGACAAGAAGGGCGAGACCCCAGCAAAGATCCGCTTGTACTCCATCGCCTCCTCCGCGCCCGGTGACGACGAGAGCAGCAAGACGGTGTCCCTGGTGGTGAAGCGCGTTGTGGAGGTGGCCGGACGTGGCTGGTGCGAGTACTCGAACGTCGAAAAGGGAAAGGATCCTGAGTTCCCGGACGCAGAGAAGGTCTATCGCGGAGTTTGCTCCAGCCACATCTGCGATCTGAATGCCGGAGATGACGTTCTCATCACAGGCCCAACAGGAGCCGAGATGCTGTTGCCGGAAGATCCCGAGGCGAACATGATCTTCATGGCTACTGGAACCGGCATCGCACCATTCCGATCCCACCTGCGCAACCTCTTCCACGACAAGGTCTCGAAGGGCAAGTTCAAGGGCTGTGCCTGGCTGTTCTTGGGAGTTCCTTACAGCGAGTCCTTGCTCTACGACGAGGAGTGGAAGGAGATGCAGGCCGAGTTCCCAGACCAGTTCCGCTACGACTACGCAGTTTCCAGCGAAGAAAAGTCTGAGAAGAACAAAATCAACGGAGAGATGTGGGTGCAGCACAAGATGATGGAGTACGGCGAGGATCTGTGGCAGTTGGTCAAGGACAGGGCACCTGAGGCGGTACGAAACACGAAATCCACAGCCGTCATTGTCGCAGGATCCCAAAACGCACATCTACATGTGCGGCCTCAAGGGCATGGAGAGTGGCTTCGCGGAGTGCTTCCAGGAGCTGCCTACAAGTCGCCTCGGGAACTTTTGAGTTTTTTGTTGCAGTCATTTTGCCCCTTTTCTTGTGGGCTACAGGAGAAAGTTGAGGCAGAGGGCATGGACTACAAGGAGTACTTGAAGCAGATGAAGAAGGACAAGCGCTCCCCGACAACGAACAGCTCAAGTGACACTTGGGGGCTGTACATGCGGCATTGCAATCAATGCAGGAAAGGCAGTGCACGCACTGCATGGTGGGGTGCATCATGCGTATTTCGTTACTAGTTGTAGTAGTTCTCTCGATAGATCATGACTTCCTGGTCCAGGTTACCACGTGGAGGTGTACTGAGACAGGAGTCCACAAACACAGGGCAAAGAATCGTTGGCAGAAGATGTTTATGGAAGATGGCTGCGAAGCCTACGCTATACCAATTCTCCATCTCATCAACAGGTTTTCGTAGCTTTCAGGAGTTTCGCGAAAATGCACTCGAGAATGCTGTCCTAAGCCCTAAGCACATGCTGTGCAGTCGTTCCATGACCATAATGAGAAGGTCTCTCGAAACTTCTGACTGTAGTGCACGGTTGGGCGGGGGACGACGCGTCATTGTGCTTTTGACCCCGCTATGCCAGTACTGGTTGTAGGCCAGCATGCAATTTTCATGGCTCTTCGCCTTTCACGGCATTGCCACCAGCCGCGTGTTTTAGCTGCGAGCTCGTCAAGCTGCGAGCACCCGCAGCTTAGGTGGGTAGCGATGCTTGAGGGTCTTCAGACAAGTGGACGTGCTTGGGTGTACAGAAAGAAAACGCAGGCATCTCTCTCTCTCTCTCTCGCTGTCTCTCTTTCTCTGCACACCCCCGCTTGTACGCTAGCAGCACGATGAGCACACGTTCTGACATCAGGTGGCTAGCTGGGCCCGGGCAGACCGCTGCTTGCTGGAGATGCCATCTTCGCGAGCTTCGAGGTGCTCGGAAGCCCACCAGGAAGGGTAAGAGACGGCTGTTGGCCCCGAGTAGAACGCCACTTCGCCAGACAGTTTGTGACGTTTGAAACGGATCATTCGGAATCATTCGTGTGTTTTCGTTTCCAAATCTCCGAAATTTGTCCGAAAGACAACGAGCTGCTCTCAGCTAAGTTGCGCTGGGTCGCTGTCAATGCCAGCATGTCTTCCCCGAGCTGGAATTGCGGCGTTGCACGATCTAGAGACGGGCGGTTCCAAGTTGAGGAAATGTGGTGTGTGTTCTTGCGGCCTGTCGTCTTGCGGGGATGAGCGTGCTTGTGGCAGTGGGTGTGCCTACTGAGTTGATGTCAATATGCGGCACTGGCTCAGACTCTAAGTTACGTTCAAAGCGTTGGCGGTCCTCCAAAGAGAGTGGCGCCGGAGTTTGACCAATTAGGACTCAGGCAGTCAAAGGCACGCCGGCCCTGCAAATCTTTCAGAACAAGGTTCCGAGTGACCCTTAATCCCTGACAGGTGATAGGGCGAAAAGATGGGTCTTGTGAGACTGGCCTGGGTGGCCTCTGCGACTCTCGTCTTCGGGGGAACGCAGGAGGTGCCGGTGCTCGCTGAGCTTGTGATCACTTTTTGATCTTCGGCCAGCCGCGGGTGATTCGATGAAGTGCGCATGTTCGAACATAGAAATCTCCAGGATCACCTCTCACCTGCCTTGGTGAGCTGCTAGCACGCAATTGTACGGGTGGCATTGGGCAGCATCAAGACAGACATGGTCAGTTTGTCGTTGCGATGAACTTGACGCTTTGTTTGATTCAGGCGACGACGACTGCCTTGGGGCGCCCGGCGAGGGAGCCTGCTATCTGAATGCCCTTCAACGACGGGTACTGAAGGCGAGAAGCCGTGGAAGTAGCTGTAAGTATAGCTGTAATTCAAGGCTGGAAATTTCAGTGCTGCAAGAATGAAAGGTGCCCAACGCCTCGAATAGCTCCGGTGTCGCTGCCATTGTGCCACCCGACCTTCCAACACCGCCACCTGTGCCCTCATCGTCCTCGGTGTTGCCGACCACATCCACGCCGCAAGCGCCACAGACTACAGAACCGGTTGCAAACACCACGGGACCTGTGCAGCCTGCAGGGCCTGCAACAACTCCGCCGCCGGTCTCGGTCTGCTTGGCTGGACAGGAGATCCCCTTCTCGAACCGAAAGCCTGGGAACGAGTGCATTGCCAGCAAGCTCGGAGATGAATGCAGCTACCAGTGCAACGAGGGATACATCGCCGTTGGACGACACGTTTGCCAGACGATCGTCATCCAGAATCAGGCAGGGCATGAGGCAGGCGTGCTCTGCCACTGAAGACTTTCCTGTCAAAGCTGCTTTCCGCCTGTGCACAGGTCTGGAAAGACAAGTCTTTCTTCGGTGGCAATTGCTGGAGACTCTGTGCTGCCACGTCTGGGCCATGCCCTGCTGGCCAAGTGCCTCTGCGGGTGAACACGACCGACGACCTCGGCCCCTGCATGCAGACGCTGTGCAAGACAGAGGACGATGCTTTCAAGAACCTGGCGCGAGGTAACTACGAAGTCTGGCGAAGATCCCGCAACGATTATTCAGGCAGTCGCTCGGCGAATGTTCCAGCTATCGATCTTTGGGATGTCTTGCGAGAGCCTTCGTCTACCAACACCAAGGCTACACAGATCACATCGATCTCGACACTGGCAAGGCAGGGCCGATGGTAGAACAGGCCAGAGTGTTTCGAGGTGGTGTCAGCCAAGGCAAAGTTGGGCTCTTCGGACACCACTGGGATGGGTCTCATCATGGAGTGCGTGGCACACTCCATGGGCTGGATATCGGATCAGGAGATGAGTGCGGACACTTCCAGTCAACTCGTTACGCGTCAGCTGTTGGCCCGATCGCCCACAGGACTTGCTGGAGCGCGTGAACCTGACACTCTCCTCTTTTGCAAACATCCCGCCCCCCGCGAAAGACGGCATGTCGTGGAACTTCACCCGCGGGCCAAAGGGCTGGGTGCCACGCTACTTCGAGGAGTCGACTGGTGCCTTGCTGGCGGAGGCCGGGTCGCTGTAACGCTGCAAGGGGAGGAAGCGCGAGATTGAAGAGCTTGCCAGGCGGGCGACAAAGTTGACGGTGTGTGGTCAGTGATGTCAACTGGCCTCTTCTATGTTGGAGTATCCTGGCTGGTGTGGACAATTCCGACAACTCTGACCTGGCCGGGCCGAGCAGCTGAGGTGATGTTTGTGCAGACATACGTGCTGAACCATTGGGTGAGGCAAGTTGGTTGTCATGTTGCGATCTGTGCAGAGCAATAAGAACGTAGGTCTGCAGGTTTGTCGTGTGTTCGTTTTGAAAGTGTGCGTTGAGAGGCGTTCGGACACAACTGGCATGATCGCGATTTTGACGGAGAAGCGACTCGCCACACATATCATCCGGATCCTGTTTGCGGCCTTAACAGCCTTAACACCTAGGACCTAGGACTTGAGATGCGTTGGGTGAGTTGAAGACCGCCGCGTGACCACATCTGCTCATGAGGCTGATGGATATGGTGGACTGGCACAGCATGCTGTGCCTGCAGGCCTTCGCTTCACCAGAAGCTCAGCCTTGCTTCAGGCGCCTGGGCATCTCTCAAAAAGTCCCAAGACACAGATGCTAAGGAGGTGGTGGAGGGATACAATGGCACGGGCATCCCCATGCTCATGAACAACAAGGGCCTGTGTACTGGCATCTCTTGGCCAGAGGTCCATTACGCGTTTCGGGAGGGAGTGTGTCTCGCTGCTCCAACACATGCTCCTTGACAGGCTGACGGGTACTATCCCTTTACCGAAGAGATCACGGCCGCATGGCTGGCCGACCGAAGAGTCCGGGATCCTAGTTCTTGCGCACGAGGTGGCTCGGTGCAGATATTAGGATAAGGGTTGCCGCCTGCCCAGGTTTGCGGACATCGTGGCCAAGAGAATTGCTCGATGCCGGCTATTCATACAATGTGGAATAAAGTGGTCGGTCGTGCCCTTCATCCGAATCTTGAGATATTTGGTCACCCCTTGCTCTCCGACTGGTCGTCCTACGTGGTTCAAATCCCATACTACACGACGCATCCGGTGAACTCTTTTCCAGCCTTTCAGAAGCTGTCCCCAACTTAGTTTCTGAGCTGAGGTGTGGCAGGGGCAAGTGGCAGTGCTCGCATTTTGCCCCCTCAGGTTCAAGGATGGCTGGCTTGCCGACTGGGCTGACTACAACAGTGCCTTGCATAAGTCCGACAGGTGTGCACCAACAAGGCATTCTGTGGCAGCTTCAGCAGCTTCATTCATACTAACTTTTCAGGCAGGGAGTAGAGGGAAGACACGCACCGAATCAGAGCCAGATCGAAGTCCCAAGTCCACTTGGTAAGATGTTCAGCCAATGAGCGAAGGTTTGCAAGAAGGGTCGCAAGGGTTGAAGCCCCTGCATGGCACGACCTGCAATCATGAGCTTGCGGTTTTGACCAGTGACTATTTCTTCAGACAGTTGGCGTGGACACACCCCCACTATCTTTCTCAAGCCGTGATTTGTCGTGCCCAATTCCAACTCTGCCTCTGTCCCCGTGTCCTTCTAGGCCCAATTTTGGTTTGCATGTTGTTGAGGCATGCTGCTTCTAGGTAGATGCCGCATGGCCTCGCCCAGACTGCTTGTCATGTTTGTCCTGGAATGTCCTGGACGCGGGGAAACACACCGAGGGAGGCCTGCCAACTGCTTAGACAAGGCCGTGCCTGTGCCCATTCAAATCCGAAGCAGCAGCTTGGCTAATTCCCCAAAGCGAAGCGAGAGCAACAGTCTGAGGCAGTGTCTTCTACGGCGGCTCTGACCGCTATGGGATGGGAGCCGGGCCCGACATCATGTGGTGTTCAGGCAAAGAGTACAATGCAGACATGCAGCTGGGAAAAGAACAGAAGTAGAAACTCACGGAGCACTGTCTGCAACGACTCGATGGGCCTGTTTTTGGTTCTACCGAGGTACACAAACAACACCGCAAAGGGAGATTGCCGCACCTGGAGCCCAGAGGCCGTGGCTGGCTGGTTGCCTGCATCTCCCGAGGTCATCAAGGCCGGAGCTAAGGCTTTAGGCGCCTTAGGGTTTAGGGCCTTTAGGGTTTAGGGCCTTTAGGGTTTAGGGCTTAGGGGTTAGGGCCTTCAGGGTTTAGGGTTTGGCCTGTGGAACTTGGTTGGCCACGGAATGTCACGAGTGAGTCTGAGCGCAGGGGCACCTCCTGAGCATGATGGCAAACGGGGAATCGGTTCTCCCGGTCCCCGGAACGGACTACCACATCCTCTGGCGCAAGGCAACGGACATCGGAACAAGCTTTACAACCCAAGCAATCTTTCAAAGTGACGACAGACTGGCACAGGCAATGGTGGATCCAGGCAAAAACTGGTCAAACTACGTGACGCTGATTGACTTGAGCACCGAGCTCCTTGGTTTGAGCACCATATGGCTGGGAACAGACTGGTACAGCCTCGAGCTCAGCTGCAACCGTTCTCTGCACGTGAAGAGCGAAGAGAGTCTTGTAGGCTTGCCTCCCGAGGAAACAACACCAACCACTTCACCAGCAGCCGTGGGTACATACCTGAAGTGCCGATATAGGAGGTGCAGAATAAGCAGCGCTACATATTACACTGCTGGCCTGTCTGCCCTTCGCCTAACTTTTGTATTGAGACTCCTGAGAGTACGAGACATCTGCAGCCCTAGAGCCGATGGAGACTCTTATTCCCTTGGCCGGCAGTGAGCTGCAGAGGGGCAAGCATGTCTCGCCAAGAGTCTCTCCACATACTTTGCTCGAGATGTACGGACGAGGAGGGAAAATGGTTCCTGGATTGTGCGGTTTCGTGGCCACCATGACCTGCAACGAGATGGTTCCTTCGTGCATGCTGCAATGCGACAACAGTGTTTGTCTCTTGGTGTGAGTTTTGTTCGGTGTTGGTGCTTGTCTCATATCGTAATTAATATCGTAATATCCGAGTTGCTCGCAAACTGTCGTGTCTCAGCCGATTGGCGCCTGCTAGTAGCAGGGCCTAGCGGCTTAGTGGGCCTAGCAAGTACGGCAGGTCCACCTTGAGTGGAGCTCTTGAGTGGCGTTCTGGCCCCTCATGCTGGAACCGGTTGAGCATCGTTTCGTGCGGAAGGGGAGTCCTGAACTTTTGGTTGGAATGGCGCTTAAATACCTGTAGCTATGCAGCCATACCTCCTGAAAAAATTGATGAGTTGAGAGCGACACATGCACACAAAGAAGGAGACCTCCGAGCACCCGAAGCAGAGCAGACTGAGGGTAGCGTCTCAGAATTACTGCCTGCCTGCTCATTGCAGGCCGGTACTGCGTGGAGCGAAGGATGCAACGCGAGGCAACTTGTGACCTGTGATGACTTTCTGTGAAGAAGATGCCAACATGTAGAAGCAGAAGGAAGGGCAGCAGACAGGTGATTGCTCGTAGCCATTTTGGCTTTGATCAGATCCTCGGCAGCCTAGCCGTTTGCTTGCATGGCTGCCACCATGCACCGGCTCATCATGTCTGCTCGCCCCGCACTCGGTTGTTGAAGTCGGGTATCGTGAAATTTGCATTGCTAACATGAAGCCGAGCGAACCCGACATTCATCGCATGTTGTACTTAATGTTGCGATTTGGCTGGAGCTCCTGCACGCTGCAGCTTTCGACTTATCACAAGTGGCTCTCCGGTGCTGCCGGAAGTATCGATGGTACCAGCTCAGAGGTCCTCCGCGACTCTCCATGTTCTGCCTCCGCGATCTCAGTTTTGCACATCTGAAACCTCGTCTTTCCGGAGTTCCAACTTTTAGCTGAATCTAAACATGACGTACGGCCCATGACTTGGCCGAGGCACCCAGCGGTCCTTACTAGTTGGAGTGCTGGTGATGCGCTTCATGTGCGTCGAGTGTGCCCTGGCGTCACACGGTTTCTGTAGCATCTCGGAGAGCGAAGGCTTTGCCATGTCGGTGCCCGCTGGTAATGAGGCAAGGTACAAGCAGGGACGCTGACGTTCGGAGGAGCGGCAGCAGAAGAGCAAGAACAGTGGAGATTTCTCGGCATCTTGGCCAGCCAAAGAATCCCTGGGCCCTGAGAGTCCTTGCATGCCCTTGCTTGTATTCCATGAGCCGCCCAGGCAAGTTCGGTTATGCAGGGGCCTCGCCGAAATACGTCCGGTCTCTTCATTTCTCATCAGCTCGTGGCGGTGCTTCCTTGGGACCGAGCAGTTGTGAGGCGATCGGCACGGGGCGCTATGAAATTCGGCTGAGGCAGGGCTGCTCTGCCTCAGTGGCCTCGAATCACACTGACTGCACCATCATCCGATTCGGCAGAGGCTCCACAACATCTTGCATGAGGATCAGGCCAGCCTCTAGCAGACTGGCTCTGCATTCTCTCAACACCGGGCGCGGGAAGAAGACATGGACCGATCTGAGATCTGAGGTTTTGCCTAGACCAGACTTGGAGATCTTCCTGGATGAGGATTGGCCAAAGCAGGGACGCTTCTCTGCTTGCAAGCGGGCGGAGGCCTGCCTGTTTGGTTTGGGTTCTTTGTCGTTCGCGCTGTTCAGAGCCTGTGGTGGTGCGATGTCGTAGAGTGCCAGGATGTGCCGGCGAGGAAGACCCACGGAATGCTAGTCCCCGGGCAGACGCTTGCTACAACTGGCGCGCGTGCGCGCGCGCGCGTGTGTGTGTTTATGCGAGGTCTCCAGTCAAGGTGCAGAAACGGTGTAGGGTTCTTCGAAGCACAGCTTAGGCACGGTGAGTGGGGCCCGTGGGAAGTCGGAATGTTGCTTCACGCTCAGCCCTTTCCTGACAATGATGGCTCCGTCTTGCAAGTATGTATCGAGGTATCAGACAATTCGTCCTCACATTTGGTATTTCGTGCCTCGGCAGGGTTTTAGCTGAGGTTTCCAGGCGCTGAGCGAGTGCCACTTCCGAGGCCCTTTCAGATTGTCCAGATCAGCTTGCACGGGGCATGCCCGGAGACCGGAGCTTTAGCATCCCGGCATGTACAAAAAACGTCTCGGCCCAGTCCTGCGTCCGGCCGCCTTCCGCCCCAAGGCTACACAGTGGACTACGAGATTCGCTGGAGGCTCCGGGAAGACACGGGCTCGTGCGGGCGAAGTGATGCGAAGTGACTGAGGCAGTTCGACGACTCCGAGCTTGGTTTGGAAATGAGGCCTGGAAGCACGCCTGATGCCAGAAGATGCAGACCGTCAAACTCTGGAAGGTACATGCCAACTGCCACGGTGTTAGTCCTGCTGATGCTCTCTGCGATGGCATGCTGGTTCGTAGCCAGAAGCAGAGCTCTTCGTCAAAGCCTAGGCCCCTCCTCGGCCTGCCGGTTTTTGCCCACGGATGCAGGGGCTCCCGACATCTGCCCTTGTAGGACGGCTTCATCCCGTAGTTCGTGGCCTGCTCTTCGCGGTGGGCCTCCATTGGGCATCGCAGGCAGACCGGAATTTCACACTCGGCTCCCGAGCATTCAACTCTGCCAAGACCTTGAGGCGCTTCACCTGGTACATCTCTTGACATACAAGAAGAATGGCTCCTTGGCGTGTCTATGCATTGTCTATGCTGCTTGGTGCTCTCATCGCTTGCTGATTGTTGGGAGGACAAGGGCTGCCGATGGCGGATGGACTCGCCGAGGTGCTCTTCATGTTGAGCCAAGCACGGCTCCGAGAAAGCGGCACGGCACGTCTGGATGTTCGGGGCGTTGCAGTTCTGCCAGAGGTTGCGAGCGCCTCTCTGTTGATAGTGCGGGGCTCAGTCGGCATGCCCCTGCCATTCTGCACCCTCAAGCGGATCTCTGGCTGAGCTGATTGCATGGGAGAAGGCTGATGGAGCCTCGTTTCTGAGGCAATAGCTCAGGGCTACACCTTGATTCGCTCAAAGTTGAGCGAGGAGGGGCTGCAAGACTGGTGAATGTGCACGCTGGCAGACGGCTGTGTAGGCATGTCTACTTCGTCCTTTTATGATCAAATCACCTCTCTTAGACCAGAGGTTGAACTCCTAGTGCCCGTGGTCACTGTGATCACCCTCCTTCATGTGGCTTTGGTGGCGATGGGCAAGCTGCAAGCCGAGGAGCGCTGAAATGCTTCTGCCATGCCATGAATGCCACGATATGCCACGATTGCCCCTTCTGTGTCGGTGGAGGATTTCAAGTACCACGAGAACGAGGGGCTCGTCGGCTGGATCCTTCTTACGGCTCGATTGAGTCTCTTCGCCTGGTTTCGCAGTGGTGCCTTGGCTGCAGAGCAGCCAAGAGTGGAGCTCTGGCTGACACAAAAAAACGGGTCTCCGGTGTCCTGGGAGGCATCCAGCGACTGAGATCGGCAGGCCCCTTTGTGGCCCAGTTTCCAGTTACTTCTTTAGAGTGAGGGCCGTGAGGGCCTGGTGCCCGTCAGGCGGCATCAAGCTCCAGAACTTTTTGCAAATATTCGAGATCGCCGGGTCGGCGTACTTCCTGGCATTTCCAACTATCTTCGTGCTGGTTCAGGCAGGACGGTGTGCGGATCCGCCAGACTCCAAACAGAGTGCCGTAGTCGTCTAGAAGGGACACGAGCCCCATGATCGGCAATCAATACAATTCAACAAGACTTGGTTTCGAGACGTAGTAGCGCTGCAGAGGCTGAAAGATAGCCTATGCCTGTGAGCCTCTGACCTATGATGACAACTTCCCACAAACCACCCTGTGAGCGTGTCGGGGTTGGAAGGCTTGGAAGGCCTTTGAAGGTTGCTGTTCGGCCGGACCACGAATGCATCCGATGGGTCCGATGGGGGTGAGGATGTGTGCGAGGAAGTGAAGCCGTCCAACTTGAACTCATGCAGTAATTTTGAAGCCCCAAATTACCATTCTGGCGTGTGCATGTCGACAATGGTTGAAGTCAGTGCAGCATGGCAGTGGAGAGGTATTGGCACCGTACCTTCAGCATCCAATCTTGCAGACGACATTGCTGGCCGGACACTGAGTTGTCGTTCGCTGGTCGACCTTAATCCCACCTTCCAAATCCTTCTGCCAAGCTGACTTGATACGCAAACAGCATGCGTGGGCTTTAGTATGGGCTCCAGGCTTCCGTTTTCGGGTAAAATGACAAAAATTTCCAAGAAGTGGCAGGCTGTGCAAACAGCCTCGTGGCTGTGGCTTGCAGACCTCTTCCTCAAGCGCGGCAGCTATTTCGAGGTGGGCTTTTGCCCCGTGTGGCCATACCAATCAAGCGATGAGCCTGTCCCTGCATTGGAGAAGACGTTGCTGGAGCGTAACTAGCCGAGTAGAGTAGAGGATCTTCCCAGCAGGTGCTGAGCCATAGACCGTCCACGCATTAACACAATGGGTGGTCGAGCGGGCCGACTGCCTGAGGGTCGCTAGATGACGCCTATGCCCAGCAGAAAGAAAGAAATGAGACGCACACACACACACACTCACTCCGACACGCACGCATGCCCTCTCCCTCAAAAAGAACAGACAGGTAGAAACCATTCCCAAGAGAAGCCCTGCATGAAGGTGTCAGAGCTGAGTGCCTCGATACTGCCTGGGGCCGCCTGGCTCAACTTGATTTGATGCAAAGCTTCAGCCCTCCATGGCTTTGCACATGCTCTTGTTACATTCTTGTTTAGTCTTACACGTGACTCAGCTGGCGGACCACAGAGCAAACTGACAGGACATCTTGCGACTTACGAACTGTCCAACAACTGGCTAAAGGTGCAACGTCTCGCGAGCAGACTCAGGTGAAGAGCTTGAAGCCGAAGGCAAGGTGAAGTTCCCGGGCTAGGCGGGTCGCTGCCCTTGAAGCCTCGCCGTCAAGCCGCGCACGAGCGTCGCCTTCACGCATGCATCCGTTTTGAGCGCCTGAGTTCCAAGCACAGGCACTCAAAGCCCAGCTCTACTCACCGGAGACTTTCCGGACCAGCGCAGAACTTTAAGGCGAATTCGCGAAGCGACATAGTTGTCTATCCTGTTTTCATAGCAGCCGTCCAGCTGCGCAATGATTTCAATACATATCTTTCGTTTGAATGAATTGTCATGGGAAAGCCTTCATGACCTACCTTTGATTTTCACGAACAAAATTTTGTCTTTGTTCAAACCTTTACAACAACACATGACAACATGGATTCTTATTTCCTGTGCATGATGTTGTGAATCTGCGTGAGCATCCGCGCCGCTCCAAAACAGCATGGCTCGTTTCGCATGATGCAACATGAACACTGTCCATGAACCATGCAGGCATGGACATGCATCATGCTGAGCTATGCTTGAAATTTCTCAGAGGCGTGAAATACATCCTTCTAGACTCTCGACACTGTCTAGTCTCTAGACAGCCCGAGAACGGATGCACTCACTGTACTTTCCTGCAAGGCTGACAGATACCTGGGTGAGCCAGTCGTTAGCCTAGCTTCTAGCAACTAGGGCAAACTTGAATTCGTTTCGGTTTATTCTATCAAGTTCTCGCACTGCATCGAAGATGCCTCGGTTGCGAGGTGTACAGGAGTTTCCTATCGACGTTTGCCTGGGGCGCTTGTGTTCTCTTGTTGCGTTTTCTTCTCATCTTTGTGGAAGGGTCCCCCAGGCAAACATACGTTGCAGGCAATTGACGATCGAATTTGACATAGCGCACGCACCCGTTGTGCAGGATTGCAGATGCGTCTCACAGTCTCAGGTTCAGGCCAACCCGAAGGGGGCCCGAACTTGCATGGCTTCCGTGCCCGACGCGTGACGGGCGACAGTAGACAAGAGACCCTGACCTGCGCTGTCGTGACAATTCCACTGGCGGCCCGAGCCCCGTCGTCCCAAGCCACTTCCTTGCTTCTGGCAGGTGTTCTTTGCAGAGCTGCGGGACTTGCCGCTGTTTGTTTCGCATGAGGAAAAGGAGCAGCCAGTGAGAAGCTATCCCCTTCTGTAGACATCGATCCTGTGCAACTTCGGTGAGCCCGGCGTCAGGGCGACTTTGACTACGTCATACCCAAGACTCAGGCTTTCTCTTTCCGAACCGCGTTGCATCCCGAGTCTGGGAGGGATTTGGTCTGATTTGAGCTACCCCGCCGGTGTGTCCACTTCTTCCGATGTCGCATGAAGCGTTAGCCATCGAGGTCACATCCGCCAACATTCCTTTTGGGGGTCGGGGCGCTAAGTGCTGCAAGCATGGGGCTGAGAATGACGCAAGCCTGGCGATCCTAAGATACAGCCGCAGCAGCCGCACCCCAGTGCTCAGTGGCAGGCCCTGCCGGGTGTCGGCCGATGTCACGTATTGCAATGCGCTGCTACGCGAGTCATGCAAAGGTAAGCCTTCATCCACTTGGAAAGAGCGACGGCCTCATTGTGGGAGCACGCAAAATGACTCGAAGGGTTGCTTCTGCCAAGGCCCTCTGCCGGGCTCTTCAGCCAGCCAGCTTAGCCACGGCTGGGGCAGCAGGTTGGCATGCGGCTTCTAGTGGAACAGCTGTACACGCCAGACCCTCGGAGGTACCAAGTCGTCACCGAGAAGAGAGAGGCACATGCCACTTGCTTGATCGCATCTGCCTCTTTTGCATGTATTCAGTGTATTCACGTAGCCGTGTATCTATGGACATCGCAGGAGCCGGCCTGGGAAGGGAGCGTGAATCTCAAGTCCAAGTACGCAGAAGAGGCCGACGAAATTCACGAATCTGTTGTTTCATTGTTGTATGTTTGGTGCTCCGCATGAAGTGATTTAAGGGCACTCGTCTCCCTAACCCTCGCCTGCTGCGTCGAGTGCGAGTGCTAAAAGGGCACTCGTCACGCGAGTTTTCTAGATTCTAGAGAGGCGCGAATTGACATCTTTGTGGTGGACTCTCGGATTGCCCACCTGGAGGTGCAACTGATCGATTTCAGTTCGAGGCTGTTCAAAAGCGGTTGCTTTAATTAAGCTCCCACCTAAATCAACAAAGCAGCAGCAGCTGCAGTCTAAGGCCTGGATATTGACCGCATCAGTATGTGCTTGCTGCCAGGATATTCATTCGCAGAAGCAGTGCAGCTTCGAGGGCAGCTGGCGCGCTGGGGCTACTGGTAGGGCAAGCCTTCTCCAAAGCATCAAGTAGACCAGACGAAGGTCGCTGTGACTACTTCGGCTTTGTGAAGCATGCTGCACCCTGCAGGCAGAACTTCAGCGAGCGAGGGCAAGGACGGCACCACAGGGTGCGCCCTCTCTTGGAAATACTGCTAGGACCGCTAGGACTTTTCAGTGTTACAAGCGGTTGTCACGATTAAGAGGTTTCGTGCAAGACTTCGCAACATTTGTTGGTTGCCATCGCTGACGAAGCTGGATGCAGTGCGGCAATATCATCAAGCCACAACCTTGCCTCGCAGGTCCTGTCTTTTACAGCATCTGCAACGGGCTTCTTCCTAATGGCGCAGCCCTCGAGCTGAAGCGGAAGCTTGTTGTGCAAACGACTCAGAGTCGAAGGTTCAGCTCCTCCTTGCCGGGGTAGCAGGAGGCCAAGAGATGCCAAGAGTCGGACATCTGATCGTCTCTGGCTCCTTCTCAGAGTCTCAGGTCCTGCGGCGCTTCTTCTTGTTCGCCCAGGGCTCAGATTCCAGGGAGCCGTACTGTAAGGCTAGGCAGGAGTGAGGGGCCCAAGGGCTCAGGCCTATGAAACGGTGGTTTGGGAAGAGATGCAGGGAATTGCACAGCTCCCATCTAGGAGGTTCCGGCCTGCTTGTCTTTGAGGGTTTGCAGACAAGACGGGGACACCCTGGGCCGCCGATTCATCCGGATGTTAACGAGAGTGCAGGTGGGTAGTTGTCAAAATTAGGGTCCGATTTGGGGTACGTACCCTAAATAATAGGTGCCGTATTATAATAAGGACCCAAAAAGGGACCATAATTTTGACAACCACCCAGGTGGACACTGGGAAGCTTCTGAGCCGCGTGCCCCTTGCCTTGGTGTGAGCTACGGGAGGTAGCCACGAGGCATACGAGAAAGCAGCTGAGGATTGTCTTCAAGTTCTTTGTGCAGGATTTCCCGCAACAGCGCGATGCTTGGAGCCAATGGAGCACAAGCGAGTTGTGAAGTGCGAAAAGCGCTTTCCAGGATGTGTATTGCAGCTTACTTGTATGCTTGGCTGGGCTCCTGGTATGTCGGCCAGAGAACCCTCGGCTCAGTTTCGGAATGGTCAGGTACGCCGAAAATGGGCTTCGCTGTCAAATGTGCCTGTTCCATCCGAGTCACTGCCTGGGCCTGAGCAGTGGCACGCTCAGCGCTGATGTGCGATCGACTACACACCACAGGTGATGATCAGCATCCGCTTCACTCCACCAACCTGCTGGCCTGGCCCAGTCTTGGAGTCATGCTTATGGCGGCCTATGGCCATGGACATCCATGGAGGATCATTGCACGTGGCGCTTGTGGTTTCTGCAGGTTTGCCTCTTCACTTTGCTCAGTGCCGTCGCCAACCAGTTGCTGTTGCAAGCGAGGCTGAAGCCAGGCCTGGAGAAGAGACAAAGCCTCAAAAAGCCCCACCATGGCTTGCGCTTTCGGGGAGGCTATGACAGCGAAGACGAATGTGTGTTGTGCTTCTTCCGTTTTGTGATGCTGTCGGTAAGTGCCGGAGGCCCAGAAATCAAGAGACTCATGCGCTCTGCTGTCGCAACCGTGCCCTACGTCGGCTTAGATCTTGCCGTTCTCCACTGCAATGTGCATGTTATCGGCCATCATGCTGCATTTGTCAGCTTCTCGGTGCGAGAACGTGGGGTTCATCAGACTTTCGGCCCTGTTAACCTGTATCGATCTTCAGGAAATCTCCTCTGATTTACTTCATGCTCGGTGTTCCAACGGTTCTGGGCTGCTTGTTTGCATTCGGCACAGACGCTTTGCTGTGCCATCCGGGTCACGGCAGAGTGAGGCTGGGGGGCGATCACCTGCGTTTGCGCCTCTGCATTTCGGCACCTCGGCTTGCGTTCCTTGTGACCTGAGCGCCAAGCTGAGGTGCCGCTCTTCATCTGTTGCGATGATGAGTTGTGACAGATGCCAACGTCAGATCAAGGCCAACGTCACCATTTCCGCGCGAGGAATCAGAGTAACCCGATGGCAGCCCAGTTCATGCAAGAGCTCAACGACATGCTGGCGGCGCCGAAGACCTCGGGCATTTAGATGTCGAATCGAAAAGTGTTGTCCTTGGAGTAGACGGTGGATGTTGCAATTGCTACACCATAACATGTCAAGCAAAGGAACATTTCAGCATCCCGTCGTGAATTGTCAAGCTTGCTTCCAAACCATGCAATCTCCTTATTTAACCACATCTGTCACGACATGCCGCGCCGTTTGTGACAATTTGCTCCAGCTGGCTATGACATCATGAAGATGGGGTATGGTGCATACCTGACAAACGGATATGTTGGCAGGCAGGTCATTGTCCGATGTAGTGCCACAACACAAGACTGAAACCCAGCATCAACTGCTAAGGACCAGTCGGGCGCAAACAAACGGTGAAGAAAGCAGCCCTCTCGAAGGAACCACGGGTCTACAAAACGAATCCTCGGACACTCAATCAGCCAATGGATGCCGATACATAAGCAGGTTGTGTATACGTTTGCCTATCCTTCGATTCCGCACGGTATGGGTAGCGTCGATTCTCAAGCAATAACAGAGCCTTCGGATTGTTGGTGCTTCTGTCTTGTGCCGCTATGCATCGCTATTCGCACGGAAGCCTTCGTCTATTTAGGCCATGCCAAGTCTACAGTCAAGTACAATCAGTTTCTGTCGTTGGTATGCTTATAGTAAACTTCCTCTGAATGCACATTCGGTCAAGTTCAATTGAATAGGCAACAATCTACGTGCTTTTTTGGGTGTTGTTCTGTTGTTGTGCACATTTTCATATCGAGTATTTATTCTTCCAGGTTGCGGTCATGTTCGTGCCTGTTCATATTAATCCAGCGGCTTGCTTGTGTTCTGAAATGAGCTCGCTACGCCGTGCCTGCTTCCAAAACATTTCCCCCATTCTTCATTGGTGTTTCTGCTTACAAACACCTTCCACCCCTACCCCTACCATCGGCATCGAACGTGTGTGCCGAAGACGAAGATCGTGCCTATGTAATGTAGAGCGTGTCTATGTTATCTACCCGTGTTACTAGTTACCGTGTATGTGTGCGTGTGTGTGTGTGTGTGTGCGTTCATGAGTTTATGCAGAAAAATAGTTTTTGCAAGGGCGCGTGCATATGCATACACGCCTGTAAATAATAACCTGTCTACATGTTACACATACATATACATGTAAAGGTACATGTACACGTACACGCATGCATGATATGCATGATATGCAACCATCCATCCGTCCGTCCGTTCTTGCGTTACCTACCTGCCTACCTACCTACCTGCCTGCCTACCTACCTACCTACCTACCTACCTGCCTATCTGCCTATCTGCCTACCTGAGTACGTCCCTACTTACGTACATACATGCATGCATGCTGCATGAATACACGCGTGCATAACACCACACACAGAGGACATGCGCATACCTTATGCATATATGCAGAATACCCACCTGCTCCAATAGCATGTACATCGCGAATGCTTCCGTTCATGCACACAGCCTCAAACACACATAGACTCTGTACCACTGCTGCTTTTGCAGATGGAGTGGTGTGGTATTTGCGTAGGTGTCCCTGCAAGCATAGGCACCTTCATTCCAGCATCCATGCATCCATGTGCGTGGTGTTGCATGCAAGGACATAGTCTTTGGTATGCAGACGCGCGCACAAGTCTGCCTTCCGGGTGGTCTTTTTCTATTTCTCTGTACACTTATGGACGTTATAAGCACATACACACATACAGACAGACATGCAAGCAAGGAAGCATGCATGCATACATAATTTTTTTTATGCCCACCTACGATACGCGTATATGTCTGCATGTGTTTTTGTGTCAATGCATGCACGTACATGTGCATAGATACAGATATACACATACACGCGGGCTTCTGTAATTATGTAAAGGTACATGTGTGTTTGCATGTGTATGTATGTATGTATATGTATATGTATATATATATATATGATGATGATGAAGATGTATATATATATATATATACACATGTGTACGTGTGCAGATATTTGCATTTTCGTCGAAAAGCCACGGGTGCATATCTTGAAGGGTGATTCGTGCGTAGTGCCGTAGGCAGTGGACACTTTCTTTTGGTATCTCTGCAGCAATGGACCAGAATGGCTGCAAATGGAGTTTTGTTCCCCGGAGGCCACGAATGCTCCTTGAGAGGTTAAAGGCTGATGAAGATTTTCGTGTGTGCCTTTGCAGGCTGCGCACAGTGTACCTGCTCAGAAGAGCAGAATGAGATCCATGCTGTGGAGGCTGCGGGCTGGGGTACTACATGGACGGGCATGAAGTGGCTGCATGCATTGAGCCTGCGGATTTGTCGAACACCGCCTCCTTGCAGGGCCAAGCCATTGAGGTCGGCGTTGCTGTCCTGTCCGTTCCTTCAGGCAGGCCCAGTGGTCCCAGCCCAGCACGGAACCGGACCATGATGGAGAGAACCAAGAACCTCAACAGGTGAACCCAGTGAGCGGAGCGAGGGCGAACCGCCCGCCAACTCTGACGAGCCCAATGCCGTCTGCCCAGAGGAGGCTGTCAACGATACTGCAGTCACTTCCATCATTGGGGCCCGGTCAATAGCCTGCCCATTCCGAAGCGCCTGCGAACGGAAGGATGGGGAGATCCGAGAGTCGGCGATCGATTTCCACAAGGACCTGAACAACTGGGTGACGGAAGTATCCGAGGTGTTCCATTATCGGGTCTTCTTCATCGACTCTTTGGCTTAACATGGGGTTTAGAAGCCTGATGTAGTCTTACCTCGGGCCACGCCGAGGAACTCGTCGGACAGTTGCTCTACAGCATCTTTGGGCCACTATCATACCCCGTACTGCTGATGCTGTATCGTGGGAAAACTGGTCTCAAGAACAGAGGTTTCTGGATCTTTTCCAGCCCTGCGGCAGCATGTAATTTGCGGAATCTAGCTCCAAACTGGCAGAATGTCTGACTTACTGGAAGAGCCTGAGCTTGGAACAACCAAGAAATCGATGCATCCACCATTACCCAGTTCGTGACTTGGGCATGTCTCTTCTCGGCGCTCATTGCCATGTATTTCTTCGATGACAAAAATGAAGTCACGCTGATTGAGAAGAAGCTGACGATTATCGGGCTGCTTATGCGGATCCCGGCCTGAACATTCAAATGGCACGTCTTAGGAGACCGTAGGCCCTCGACCTCTCAAACGTTCAGATCTGCACATCGACATGGGGGCAAGCCCTGTCATCTCGGCTTCCTGCTCCAAGGAATGCCCCGGTTGCAACGAAGTATGCTTACACATCCACCCCGACCTGGAATGAATTGAACACGACTTTCGTTGATGCGAAGTACAGAAGGCCCGGAGGCAGTTTGGATGTCCCCGCATTTTCCGAAAACTGGGGTCAGGCTCAATGAATTGATCCATCAGGTACATGAATTTGCTCACTGGCTGGTTGCGTATCCCCGCTGAAAACTTTGATTTGCAAGCAGAAGTCGCTTTCGCCACTTGGTTGCGTCAGCCTGCGGCTAGCCCTCGAAATGATGCCCGCTCGAACCAATTCGTCAACGAGGTGACGATTGTCGGTTCGCGCAAGCAGCGGAGCCCCTGGTCTGCAGAGATTGGTCTGAATGTTTGTAGAGGATCAGGGAGCACCCTGTGCCACAGCGATATTAGGGAATTTGAAGGTGTCAGGTGAAGAGAGGGTGTTGCAAGTTGACGGTGAGGCCAAACCCTCCTGAAGTTCTTGCCGTGGCCACGCTCAGAGCACGAGCTGTTCGTCCTGCGCGAGCGTGTAGACGTAACAAGCAAGACCATGTTCTATGCCAGGGCCCTGAGACAGTCGCGAGAGAATCGAACAGAATGTGAAGCCGGATCAGGCACCTACTGGGCGGATCCTCCGTGAGAAGACTCGGCTTCGAAAAGCAGAGCAGCAGCAAATTTTGTGCCCCGGCCAGAGCGCTTCTAAGACGGGCCGTAGCCAGCAGATTCGGCACAAGGCAATTTGAAGAAGAAGACGAGGGGAGCCCCAACGATGTATTTTCCAGCAAGTCCCGGCCAGCCGCGCAGCTTGACGGGAAGATTATGTGCCCGACAGCAGCAGCAGCCTGCCAAAGTCCCCATGGCAATGCACGACAACTCTCTTGGGGTAGCATGATGCCTGGGGCCAGTTGAGAGTTTGGCTTGTTGAGGACCGACCTTGGTCAGATTCGTGGCTTTGGCTGCACGTCGAAGCATTGAAGTGTCAACATGTAGCAGCTGCAAGAGAGTGAGAAACGAAGGAGCGGGCTTGGTCAATGCAGAGCGGTGCGCTTAGTTCGAGTCAGTGCCCACAACGTCCAGTCCAAGAGCAAGACTGCACATTCCTCGCGCAATATCCATGCAGCTACGAGGTTTCTGAACGCTGTTCAGGTGACACAGGGCAGGTACCGGCAAAAGCTTGACGTGCAACACAAGGTCGAGCAGGCAGTTGCCTCCCGATGACACAATCCCACAACCAGGCCTCATCGACGAGCATAAGGACCCCGATCAGAAGCAGAGCTAACGTGCTGTGCAAACGTTCTTGTTTTGGTTGACCGGCCTGGGTCTCTTTCCGTTCTTGCTTGAAATGTACCCAGTGCATCAAGAGAACATAGCATGAGCACACCCTGCCGCTTGTGCCGAGTGTCGCATGTTGGGATGGAGCTGCTTTGGAGGACCACGACACGGACATCTTCCGAGCAGCAGCTGCAGGCCAGGAGGTGCCAATTCAGGACTTGCCGCACCCTCAGTTGATCAGACTGCCGCAGCCGATAGTTGCCACATTGGTTTGGTGTGTCTTGACGTGGTTGCTTTGTTTGCTGCAAAGCAGGCGAGCCAAACTGCAGAAAACAGGAGGCGAAGGAGAGGTACTCAAGTCTCACTACGTACAAAACTGACGCCTCCACAAACAAGTTGTTTTGGAGATGGCGAAACTGCATGGCTTCCAAACTTCGGGTTCATCCTTGCCGAACGACCGCTGAAGGCTGCACCCTTTAGGAGCCACTTTCATGGAAAGCCGGTCGGACGGCGACCGCAGATCCTTTGCTTATTGCCGTTGGGTTACCATCAAACTCGACGCAGCGTGCTTGTCCTGGGCTTTGATTCCATGCTCGTTTTTTTAGCTCAGGTTTCTGTACATGCTTCGTGGCGTCATGCGGAGCGAACGTGCGGTCATACCTCCGCTCTTTCGACCGTGGAGCCCTGGGCATTGCGTGTGCAGCGGCCCTGGCCTTACTTACGTGGATGAAGCGGTACTGCTAAGGCTGGCTCTGTTCACGACTTGCCTCGTGCTCCTCCCTTCCCTTCTTCGGGGCCTGAAGTCCGACGGATATGGATGGACGGGCATGTTCGGCACAGGTGGCTCCCTGAGATACGTGCAAAGTGGGTTCTTGTCGCTTTCAGCTTTGCGCCTCTGATGCCACGTGCAGGAGTTGGTGCTCACATTGCCATCATCGGCATGTTTCCGTCAGCCTTCGGATGCTACTGGGCACGAAACAGGTCTTGTCGGACGTGTGAGCTGCTGAAAGCCCATTTGCCGGCCTATCCAGGCTTTCTTTCTTCAAGCATCTTCATGGTCACGGGTGCGATTGATATCTGGAGGAGCCCAGAGCCGTTTTGCCTCACGGGATCCGATACCTTCCTCTCTCTGGGAATTTGTCGGCCAAAGAAGGATTTCGAAGGAACCTCTGAAGAGAGCCTCCTTTACAGAGGCTTACAGCACCCTTCTGCCTCCAGGGTCCGCAAAGCTCTTGCTGGGACAGGTCCCGAGCCGTGGCAAAGGTTACCTGTTACCCATTGAGGGAAGCCAGGATTGTGTAGGTGTAGGTGGGCGCGTCGGTCGGTGTGTCTCTCTGTGTGAGTGTGCGCGTGCGTGTGTCTGGCGTCTTCAGAAATCGAGTGCTGCACCTTCCAGGAGACGGGCGCTGATGCGGAGCTGTGCTGCCATGCTGACCGTGCAGCGTGAATTCCGACGCCACTGCCCCGCAGAGGCCAGTCAAGAGCAGATGCAGATGGTCAGGTAAGACAGATGCTGTGAAACGGCAGTCGGGTGGACTTGGCGGGATGCAGGTGGACATGCTTCCAATTCTCGACTTGAGCGATACATGGCTGAGACCGGCGCACTCTTGCTGTGCTACCGCTCATCTTTCGTATGTCAGAAGCAGCTAAGGACGTCAAAACCATTGTTGGGTGGCGAAAGCTTCGGCAGCTATGCAACGAATGGGGCAAGTTCTATCACGTGCGCATTCGAGCTTTCATGGAACTTTGGCTGGCTTTGGCAAGCGCTTCAATATGTGTTTGTTTGCACAGCTTGGCATGCGTCACCTGATGCTTGATCATGCTTGACCACTGATCATGCATGCCGCCACAGAGTAGAGGTGTCCTGGCTTAGGCACAATTCTTTTTCCTGATGCTGGTCATCGTTGGAGACTTGATCGCTGGCATGCTGCTTTATCCTGTCTTCTGGCGGCCAAATAACCCCTTTCCTGCGCGAGGCTACAAACAAGTCAACAACGCCGGCCGCAGTTGTCATCGACTAGTGACCAGTGCCTGCCAGCTAAAAGTAGCTTTCAAGGCTATTTCGGCACTTGGTAAAGGTATCAGACTAGAACGCAGCCGCGTGTTGGCGCTTGCCCCCATCCCATCGAATGAATGTAGCAGAGAAAACGGATCCCACCATCAAGCGGCACAAGCTCATTGTAAACAATACAGTTAAGCGGCTAAGCGTGAGCACCAGCACTTACATAAATACAGGTGCGCGAGCACACACAAACACGTGACAGCTTCTTGGCTGAGGATTATACAGAGATCAGTGGTGTGGATGTGACCTCGATGACCGTGTCCGGGGGCATTTGCGCCCTTCTCATCTGTGGCATCGTGCTCATGGTCTTCTTGGGCAACGAGGTCGCCTGAGGTGCGAAAGTGGAGGGTAGCTGCCATCGACTTCCCTGCGAGGTGAATGCTGCAGTCGCACCGTGGCAGCATCAGGTCAGGCTAGAATCGGCTAGAATTAGAAGATGAAAGGTGTCTTTTTAGCTCCGAGAAGCTCAAACAAGTGCTGTGCTTCCTTGTCCTCGCACGAGGATCGTCATGTCTACTTACTTTATCGCCAGCGGAGCCTGATGCTGGCAAAGCGCTTTGATGACCCGCGGTTTAAGAGCAAGCCGCTTGGCCCAAGGGTTGTAAGCCTCTGCACTGCAAGTCCTATTTTCGCGGCGTGCCTACTTCATGCGTCTACGAATGAGCCACAAGAGTTGCCCCAGGAAATGTGAGAGCCGGCCACTGGAAGCAGCCAAGCTGGCAGAATGCACGGAGCTTATCGGCGGTGTTTGTGACTTGGCCTTAGAATCTGGAAGTACCAGGTAAGATAAGTTACATGCTCAACGCCGGATTCGCAAGCGTGTTTGTCATGCATTCAGTGTACACCCACTGATTGCTGTGTGTTGCTCTTGCTGTCTTAGCTGCTGTGGCTTTTCTGGTTTGGTTTTGGTCTGGCATGTTTGGCAGTTTGACCTTCGGACCGAGTTGCGACAGTCCCAACTCGAAGCCACACCTTCTAGCTTTTCCGCCTGACTTTTCTTAAGGCGAGGAACTTGACTTCGAAGGGAAGGTGAGGCCTTTGACTCTCTTCGGGCTTCGACTGGGATGGTCGCTGTTCCTCGGCCTCCTATGGGTAGATGACAGTAGGAGTATGGGGGGCATTTACTGCTCTTAGTTTTCACGAGCATCGCTTAAAGCACTTGAAAGAAGCAGAGCCCCGTGCAGCTCCTGAAGATGCGTGGCGAAGGCTTTCGGCCCTGAACTTTATCCCCTTGGGCATTGCGTGATCCAGCTGCATTCTCTGAGCGCAAAGTGCCTGAGAGCCGTGTCGGTCGCTGACGCCTCCAGTCCAAGGACCACTGTCTTCAGTTTCTGCAGTGCGGAAGAGACAGAGGCTCGGACAGCACCCCTGCCCCATGGCCCACTCACGACCATGTCCTGGCCTTGCAAGCCCTGTGACTGCGCCGATCTGTGTCTGTCTAAGAAAGCAAGATGCGAGTTCTGATCCGATTAATTAGTTCACATGTGTCGTCTGCCATCTTCTTGTACAGCTAGAGTGTTTAGTGCGAGCTGGTCACACCAATCGGTGTTCGGTCATGCTGTTAACGCCTCACTGCGAAAAGGCAGAAACCCTTTTCCAGCCGAAGATGGTTGGATGAGGATGGGGCCAAAGATGTCCTGTCAGCTGTCACGCCGTCGTTCTGTGCAACGTCGCAAAAGAATGGCTTTTGTGCATCTACCGGGTTGGGGCGGAGAATTTCAAGGCGCAATCATGAGGCTTCCGCAGCCTTTCCACTCTGAAGCTCCAAGCCTGGACGATGCCCCTCCGCAGCGTAGCATCTTTTTGATCGCGGAGGAGGCACCTCTTAGTGACCTTCTCGTCACATCTCGTCTGGTTGCGAAATCTCATGACGTGCGCAGGGGATGGCAATCCTCCTAAAATTCTGCTGGGGTGACGATGTCGGAGCCCCAGAGATGCCATACCATGGGGTGCCTTGAGCTGGAGCCACTGCGTCTTGAGGTCCGCCGTGTCAGAGTGGAGGAGCTCGCCATGGACCAGGCTGAGCACAAAACAGGGGTTTGTTCAACCATTCAGACGTCGGGGACCGTCAGGTGTGGCAACAATTCAACACCTACACAATTCTAATCTTGACTGGCTTCATGCGCACCACAGGTCAAAGCAGCTTGCTTGTCGCACCCTCGGACATATCAACGCATCAGTCCGGTGCACAGCTTGGACACTCCACTTGCACCCTTGGCGTCCGCAGGCGAATCTTCGCAGAACGTTTGGCACCGGAAGATGAGGACGACGAGCTGCATCTGTGTTTGCAAGGGTACTAAATGACTGTGCCTGGAGGACCAGATCCAGCTAGAATTCTTGTGGCAGGGCTCCAACAGGCTGCTCACCCCAGCAACTTTCCCTGAGCTCGCCGCTCCCCCAGAGAAGTGCATGGTTTTGGCGGTGCTCCGCACTCTGTGGCATTACCCATGAAACCATCAACTGGATTTGCAGTGCTGCGGAAACGAAGGTGGTTCTCTATGGACAGCTCACCGGGGCCGCGGGAGTTCCGCAGCCGTCACTGCGTCTGTATGTGACAGAGAAGGCGAGGACATCAAGAACACTAAGATCCTAAAGCTGCAAGGCTGGACAGTCTGAGTCTGAGAGTGCAAGGCTGCAGGCATCAGATACTCAGTTCGGAGAGTTTGGAGTTGCTCGTGCAGCCAGACCTCGGACTCGGCAGGAAGGGGCTCACCTCTCACAGCAGCCCTGGGTAGGGCTCCAGCCGAAGTTGGAGCCGCTTGAGGAAAGGGTGTCCACATCTGAATCCGTGGCTCTGTCTGTATCTACTTGTGCTGTGGGCCCAGCTCATGTCGTCAGCACGACATACACGCGGGCCGAATCGCAGGAGTTCCTGCCCCAGCACGATGCTGGCCTCAGCGACGTCGTGAGCACGACGGATGCCGCGATTCCTGTGAAGCAGGAGGCACTTTCCTCCTCCACCTGTTCATGCAGAACCTCGGCGCAAGCAGGCCGTCGACGAGCCTGGCATCGGAGGCTTCATGGAGGCCCTACAAGCATCGCTGTGGAGAAGGCCACAAGTTTTGGTCGGCGAACTTTTGCGCAGGCCGATGAAAGGACAGTGCGGAGGGCGGCACGGCTCATGCTGAAACAGGCGGCAGCTTCTGCTGTTGGATCTGCCCTTTCCAATTCCACCCTGGTACAGGTGCAGCGACAGAGGGAAGCTGCCAGGACCAGAGAGAATCACGAGACGTCACGTGAAGCGGATGTAGAGCTGAAGCATGCTGCAGCTGCAGTGGTGTAGCTTAGCCATGCTTAGCCGCTGCCAGGAGACATGAGAAGAAAGCAGTGCATCCCTTGGTTCTGCATGTCCAAACGAAACACGACAAGCCTGACAAACCTGCCCATAGAAGGCAGCCAAGTGGCGAAAAGCAAAGCACAAGGCCTTGAGGCGGATGGAAAAGGCGGGTGTATGGTCGGGCTTGGGAATCTTACTGCCACATCTGCCGTACTCAAGCTTCTTTCATCTCTTGATGCTGCTGGAGAAGCAGCATCTGCGGCAGTTCCGATGTGTTCAGGTTGCGCGAAAGCTGGCTCGCAAAGCTGCGAAGTCTGATGAAAGGCAGCGCAAGTGCGACAAGGGCAAGAATAAGAGGCACAAGCGGAAGAAGGATGCTTGGCAAGCAAACTGCATGAAGCATTTCCACGAGACATCCTGAGATGGGTTGTGGAGTTGTGGAGGCTGCGGGGGCTGGTGGAAGTGGGAGTACATAGAAACAGTGCTGCTTGTGTCAGCCTTGAGGAGCGGTGTGTGCGATCCGAACCAGAGGACAACAAGCGCATTTTGGCAAAGCAGGTCTAGGTCCAGTGTGGGAGTTTCCGAAAATAAGGGGTACCCTAATAATAATATTGGGGTCCTTATAATAAGGATCCTACTATTTGGGGTACTAGATTAGGGTCCCCAATTTTCAGAAACCCCAGTGTAGGCCTAGGAGTCTAGGTCTCACCGCATGCAGGAGCCGGAGGCTGACGGCTCGCATGGCTCGCATCAGGATTGCGAGGTGGCTTTGGTTTAGGGCTTAGGGCTTAGGGCTTAGGGCTTAGGGCTTAGGGTTTAGGGTTTAAGGGTTTAGGGTTTAGATGTCTGTGCTATTGGTAGTCTTCTGAACTGCAACTATTGCTGGCAGCCCAGCCCGATTACATACTGCCTCGAGTGCTGCGCACAGTGACAGTAGTCAGTAGTGCGAGGTGTGGGCAGAAAAGTTTGGGTATCTAAGCCATCCAAGGAACAAGCCTGCAATCAATCGCGAGTAGCCTGTGTATGCAGCGGCCTACTTCGGCCAGGAGCGGCTCTACAAGAAGATGCGGAAGGAACGGAAGAAGGCCGACACTGGGAACAGACTGAGAACATTTCTCCAAGCCCGAGAGCCCCAAGATCCAGGGCCGAAGTCCAGCCTTCGGCAAGAGTGTTCCGGAAGGCAGCCAGGCGCCTCCAGCGAGCTGCTCGAAAGGCAGCTGTGATGATTAGATTTGATACCACTAGTAAGACTGCCTTTACACCTTCCGCTGGACAAGTACGAATGTGTGGAGGCGAAGAAGCATCGTCGACACAACCTGGAAGGCGAACGCACGGCGGGCAGTGGCAGCCTCAGTGCATTTTGGACAGCCTCAGCAGATGCAAACAAGACTTTTGGACAAAGACATCTGAGCTTGGTTTGGGCACGCTGACTTTGAGGTGATGGTGAGGGCACTGAAGGCAGCCTGGATCCCGAAAAGGACGAACCCCCTGTCTGTGCACGTGGCCGGAAGATTCAAAACCTGCCTCAGGAGGTCTGCCACATGGTGTCCGTGGCCTTCCGCGGCTTGCTGAGCACTGAAGAGGAAGTGTCCAGATCCTGGGTGCACCCAGTGGTGTGAGTACTGGCAGAAGGAGCCCAGGCGAGCCAGGCCTTGCGAGCCATTTGTCAGGGCAGCCTTTACTTCCAGGCCAACTGCAACAGGAATTCGGGAATGAGGGAACGAACTCATCAAATCGCGGATGTACATACCTCAGCTGAATTCACGGTTTTGTTCCGGCACCCCGCCTGGCCTTGCCGAGTTGGCGTGAAGCAGGCAGAGCCAGACGGGACCGCAGGTGAGACCTTGATGACATGAGAGGTATTTAAATTCTTTCCATAGATTCGTGTACATATGGCTTGGACTATTTAACATGCGCCGCAGTTTTGACATGGTGGCACTGCTCCATTTCGGTGTTGTGTTTAGGTCTGTTTCGTGGTTGTTAGCTTGTGGCTTATCGACCTTCAGAGAAAGATGGGCAGGGCTGTTCAAGACTGCAGCAGGCGGACATCTCTTTGGAAGGCTATCAACGAACGATCGATTGATGCTATGTGCCCTTCAGGACGCAAGGCTGCAACGGTCTTCATGCCTTTTGTGAAGTTGATGCCCGGTCCATTGAGTCCCGCACAATCAGAAGTGCCAGGGACTTGCGCATGCAGGCGCAAGTGCAGGGCCATCTCAGGAAGAAGGTGCGCTTCCCATTCCTCGCAGCCTCCCAACATGGCCCCTCCAAGAAAGAGGCATGCTGTCTAGCCTCTCCATGAGGCAAAATTCACCACATTCACGCGAAATGCCGTGTCATTGTGATTCGCCTCTGTCCGAAGCTGTTCAGCGTCACAGTTTGCTGGCGCCTCTCTTTGAGGCCAGGATAGCTTCCCGTTCAGTATGGTGAAAACGTGTTTGTGTTGCTTGCAGGTGTTGGGCCAATGCCACGGCCTGGCCAGGATGAAGGCCATGGCAACCACATGCAAGCACTTCCAGTAGCACCAGGTTGTGACAGGAGCCCTGAAAACAGGGCTCACCTACACCAATGCATGGGCTGCTGCATGCCGCCGCTTTGAGACTCAATTCGAGGGATAGTGCTGTCAATTTCCTGCCGACTTGCGTCCAGTCTCCAGCATGAAGGGCTTGCGCACCTTGTCCGCAGCTGCAACTGGGCTGGGCGCTAAAGCGGGCATTCCTGTGTCTAGAAGTCTAGACACCAGAGCTTCCAGGTATTGGGATCGTTGCCGCTGGTGCTCTCCTGACTGGCACACAAGCAGACGCGCCGCTTGCAAAAGAGTTCGAGGAGTTCGTCGCTAAGTTTGAGAAGAGCTTCGGCCGCAAGATGCTTGTGCAGTCACATGTCCTTCTAGTCTGGAAAGGAAGGTGGCGTGAAACTGGCGGATACATGGAAGTAGAGAACGCAAAGGAGGCATCCAATCTTAGCACCTTCCGCAGACACAAACACTGACACCTCTGGAAGGCCGTTATGCTGTAGCCTGTGCCGCACCATGCCACATCTGAAAAAGACCAATTGGGATAAGCGGCAACATGCTGATGATCCCAGGACCTACTCCACGGCCTCC